TCTAATTTTATATAGATTAGACCGTTGGTTTTCCTGTTTAAATTATTTTAAACTAGTCATTTTTGGCCCTTTATAGCTTCTTGTTCGATGTGAGCCAATGCTCCGTGTTGAAGGCCGCACTTTGACCTATACTTGTTTACTTTTTACACATTGTGACTTGGATGGAGAGTTGTCTCATTGGAACTCATACTACATCTTCGTATTTATATCATATGCATATAAAATAATTGTAATAATTAGAAAAAAAGATAATCAGAACAGAGCATACTTATTTAAAAGAAATTTAAAGGGCTGGGATTTCTTTTATATACAGAAATATTGTCAAGAAATAGGAAAAAGTAAAATAACAAAAATATCAAATTCCAAGGGAAATTCCAAACGGAAAGTCCACCCTAGAAAAGAGTGAAAATATTTACTGTCAATTATGCAGTACTTAGTTGCCTTGTTTAATCATTCTGTAATGAAATTACACCAATGTGGTATGTATGAAAACTAATTTGATAGAGAAAATGAATTTCACCATCTATAAAATTCCAAAAAAAAAATTTAGAAACACCAACTAAAAATACCAGGCTTTTTCTTATTGCATGTTATATGGGATGGCTGTTACATTTTTTTTTTGAGAGGGAGGGGTGAAAAATAATTTAAAGAAATTATTTACCATAGTTTGTTGAAAATAAATAAATGATTAATTTAAATTAATGGCAATGAATAAATGCCTATGGCAAAAATAGACAATTTACCCCAAAAACATTGAAAATCAATATTTGATCCAAAAATCTTCCAAGCTCAAACACATCCCCACTTTTTCTCCCAAAAAATTAAATGGTCTTTAGGAATCTATCTATGTGTATGTGTATGGAGAGAGGGTGTATTCTTACCTGTTCTTATGTTTATGACCTATCTCTTGTCTTTTAGGCCTTGTAGACTCTCGGAGAGGCACCTAGCTCTGTCTTCTGTTGACTTGCTAGAAGCTGTTCTAGGTAGCTACATTTCAGTTTACTTAAGCTTTCTTTCCAATAAATGCCAAAAAAAGTTTCCGTGTTGCTAGCATATGTTTAACGGAAGCAAAGCATCAATATTTAAAATTCAGTGCGATATGAAAATAAGTAAAATTTCTTGGTTCACTTTGACTTCTTTCCAGATTATGCACTCCAATCAAATGTATAAGTGTGTTCTTTTTTTACTGTGAAATAGGTTTTGTGAGTGTGTCATTGTCATAATTTGGTTATTTCAAGAAGAAATACCAGTAAATATGAAGTCACACTTGTTGTTTTCATACTCCATTGCAGACAATTTATGGTTACATTATATTTTAAATTTGTAAATAAGGGATATAACTCATAGAACACCTGTGACTGTTTTTTTTTCCTATTTCAGAGATTTTTTGTCAGTAATACATGAAATGTATGTAAAATGTGTCATGCAGTAATTTCATGTAATTCAGGTCTAAGTTAATTCATAGCTTAGGGGTAATAAATGGGTTTTAATTATGATTTAAATAATTCAGAATTTTATCAAAATATAGGAAAGTTAGATGCAAATTTCAATATCTTGCAATAATTTATCAACATTGGATTTTTGATATTTTTGACAATATCCATTGGTCTATTCACTGATGATTATTTCATGAAAAATTAACTGCCACTTTAGCAGATTGACGGACTCAAACATACTTCACAATTCATTGTGGCCTACACGGCCATTATAGCACCCCCTACCAAAACAACATTCGAGACAAATCTTTCCTGCAATAGTTTACTTTTGTCTTTCCAGGTAATTTTTAGCAAATATAAGTTCAAATGGCCAGTAACACTGTTAAAAACCAGAATTTATTGAGTTGAAACTATACAAATTTGTCATTTTGTCTAGCGTTTTTAGTGATTTGTAGGGATTTATACAAATAAGACTGTTTCTAAAAATAGATACGATTCAACAAAGTCTAAGATATATTTTTACTTTTCCTTTATATATAAGTTTTCAAAAGTATAAAAATATTTCAAAAGTTCTGAGATGCCATTTGGACAATATTTTGGATATTGCATGGTTTTCTGGCAGACTGGCTCTTAAGATGCCTACCGCATTAATAGACAATGGCCTCATTTGTACTGTATAATGAAAACTATATGCCATTATCATGAATCCATATACTCGGTAACTAAAATATACTTTGAAATAAGAAAGGACACCAATATTGCAATATTGGTATAGTATACCTAAAAAAGTTTGTCCGCGTGATGGTAATAAAGGGAACCAACATCTCTTCTTTTCCGTCAAAATATTGAACCGGTCAGAAGTCTTGGTATGTCACGATTGATTGTAACTACTTATTTGTTTTGTTAATATATAAATTAAACAAATAATTATATATCTGTTTATACAACTTAACTTTAAACGTTCCGTTTACTTATTATCTATCGTCTATAGTAAAATAGCACATAACGATGAAAATAACGTGCATGACATCAACATGATCAAGGGGACGTCACAAAATTTGGAATGTATGAACTTGTAACTGATGATTAAACCCAATGACATAATTAATACTTAATTATATTTAAATATTGTGGTCGATGCATTGGATAACTTTTTTTAACCAGTTCGTGAAAAAAAAGGACTCATTTTTTGACAAACTGTAATAGCTGCATGCATATATTTTGAGAAGAATTTAAATTTATATAATCATTATTTAATTACAAGAATGTTCATCCACAAAGGAAGTCCAATATGTGAATGTACTTTTTCCATTAGCTAGATTAACTTGTGTACAGGTTTTTATCGCATTCTTATGAAGATTTAAAAGACTGCCCAGAAGTAGAAATATGTATTCTTTTCCTGAATGAACACTTCTTATATACTATGCTTATGTAAAGACTTTGCCTCATTTCAATTTTACATTATACCCAGAGGACCCTAAATATAATAAACTGAGAAATCATATAGAGTTAGGCATGTACGATGTAAAAACCGCAAACATGTAAATAAGTGGACATACTGTATTTACAGATGGGAGATTGACATGCTTGAAGCCGTATCAAATATAATACACACAACATGCACAATAGATGTAAAATGTTTATATTATAATAATTAAATTGGCTTACTCAAAATGTACCTATATGTTATAACTGTTCCGGTACTTAAGTAAAGATAGTAATAGTTATGTCATATTGTATTTTATAGGTCTTCATATCTGAATTTGACGAGTTGATTTCATTATTAAGCAATCGCTTTCACATATAAGATAGGTGTAAACATTGAATTTGGTTAATTATAAATGTGATTTTTATATGGTTCACTCATTCTTTCTTTTATTATATCATTTCGTTTTCTCTGTTCAAACTGAACAAGAACTTAATCATTGAAAAGGCGTTTCGTCAATATATGAATGCAAAATAAATGTTATATAACTAACAGATCGACGACAAAAAAGACACGTCTAGAGTTACATGTAGTTTTCCCTTCGCACCACCACCAAATTCTACAAATAACATTACAATGGACTCTCTAACATAAAACAATCATTTATGAGTTTTTTCACGTAGGAAGCATTAAATGTGATAGGATGTAACAATCTTTTTTATATAACCATTTGTTTTTTGGATTAAAAAATCACAATAAAACAATATTACCACAAAACATTGAATCCTAAAATAACGGTGTAGATACAAAAGTCGAAAGTTCAAATGAAATACTGATAACAAAATATGATACCATCAAGACGAACTCTCAAAATAAAAACCCTAAAAGTTATTGGACTTTATTAGAATCCCTTTAAAATTTTGACAAAAAAACAGAACAATCATCAAATATAACAAGCACTGAGTGGGCTGAATATTTTTAAAATCTCATTTTCTGGAATTCAAATGGTTTTTAGTTAACCATGTGTCTTTAAAATCTGTCTTTGAAATCTCGCAAATCAGTGTGCTAGTAAGAACACAAAGATACAATCGTGTAAGTCCTACCAATCCCCTAAAACAATTTTACAAGCAAAAATTACATTCAATGATATTCAAATATTGTTTAACCCTTACCTTACTTATGACAGTGGCGTAACAGTACAACATACGAACACACTGTCAAATCACTGAAAAAGGCTGAATTAGAAAATCATTTTTATTAACTTAAAGTTATTTCTAACTCAGTCAACATTATCATGTTAAAAATAAAAGACACAGCTTTGAAATAATTGCAACTGTACATGAAGCTGTCAATGATAAATCTTAGTATGTTTCTCTTGTAGATTTTTCTGGTACAAGACAGCAATCAAGCGCACGTTTGGGTCACACGGTGATGTTTGTCGTAATCATCATTTTCGGTTTGTCTATAAGTTAGATTATTTGATAGGGTTTTGATTTAGTTAAAGTTCCTTCTCTGATCGTTCATGTATTATGCCTCGATACAAATTGGCTTTAAGAATGACTTGACCTATATATATATGTATATATATATATACATAATTACTCTAAATATCAGCCAACAATGTTAAATCTGCAAATTTGCGGAAGCAAATGTTTGTTCTTTCCTCGCCTGGATTCGAACTCATGCTATCAAGATATTGAGACAACACCGCCTGCACTGTGTTCGGCGCTCTAGACTACTCGGTCACCTAGACTGAACATATATACACACATACATATATATATATATATATATATATAATAAACGGGCATGTGATTTTAACTCAGGCATGCACAAAATAATTTTATATACTAGTAGCTTTAAATGTAAATGGTAATTCATTTATATATTCATTCTAGTTTATTATTTATCAAATCGAGAATGAACATTAGATTTTGATAAATAATGGAGCAATATAACCTTTTAATCTACTTAACAAACCTTATCTTCAGCATTGTAAGAAAACTACTCAAATTCTCGATATAAAAAAACCGCATACATGTTCTAATTAATCTTAACCAGTTTATTTGACATACTTTTCAGGTCTAACAAGTATAATTATATTAGCAATAATAGGAAAGACAAAGAAGTTATGTAAGTATTTCATAATATTATACTATATAAACTTAGTATATTTCTCATTTTGTTTTCATTTGAATTCCCTGTAGTGTGTTAAGAACGATTTACACTGCAAACCAACGTAAATGCTTTATAGGTAATTTTCTATAGCATGTCCGTCTTGCTCCATATAAACATGTTACACTGTTATTGATATTTATCACTCATGTGTCATAACGGAACATCGAATAGAAGACATAATATATTTCATATTCAGCAATACATGCATTTGAGTTTGACGTACTGAAGTCATGAAATGATTGTATATTACTATACGATAATGCACATGATTAATTGTACACGATAGGAACACGGAAATTATCTTTTTGTTTAGAGTTAAGCTGTCAATCGTTTTCTAACATAACATCAAATTACAACATCAAACATGTCATATATACACTAAACATGTTTAGCGTGTGAATAAATAAAAACATTGTTTTCGGCGTTAGTAGATGCATAAACAATATAAACTATTCTATTGTCCTAAATTTCGACAGACATCCGTAAAAGTATATCATAAATGTCCAAATAGGACAACAACCTTTTCATTTATAAAAATGAAAAAAACAAATATAGCGTATTGCAAATAAGCTGTTTTAACAAGCAATTGGAATTGGAGGTCTGTTTCTCTTTTCCAACATGAATTTCTGTTTATCGGAGGTTGTTTGGTTAGTTAGCTGTTTGAAATTTGCCTTATATCATAAACATGTTATCTATATTGATTGACTGGTAGGTTCGGTTGGATGATTGGTAGGTGGGTTATTTGGTTGAAAGAATAATGTTTTGCTTGATTGCTTAGTTGACATTGTGCATATTGTTAATTTTATCGAATTTCACATTATTCAATCGATGAAGGACTTGTTTGGTAGACTTATTTGTTCAACTTGTTTGGTTGATTGATTGATATGTAATTTAATCGATTGATTTAGAACGTACAGAGACTCATATCTCATTTTGGGTATTTTCTTTTTTTACGTGAGGCGACAAATATTTAACGCGCACTAACCCAGCTAATCAGGTAACACGATCATCCTTCCTCCCCCCAAAAAAATGGTTGGTTGTCTTAGTTTGTTTACTTGTTTGACTGATTGATTGATATAATGTAATGTAATGGATCTATTCATAACGTACAGGAAACCATAGTTCATTTTGATAAAAAAAAAATATGTGAATCGACCAACATTTAACGCATATTTACCCAGCTGATCACGTAAAACTATCATATGTCCTCCTTTAATACAACGAACTGTGCTTTTAGGAACACACGAAAGAGAAAGATGGAGGGCCTGTATTTCCTTTTCAGGTTCGAACACAACTTTAACTTGTAAATGAATTATTCTATTTCTAGGAAAATGCAAGAATGTAAACCTTGCATCTTTGTTCTTGTTTTCGCGGATCAACCGGGATTTATGATTTATATACGCGATTTGTTGTTAATTTGTTTATAATCTAAGGGAAATCGGACATACTAAGTTGAATATTTCGAATTCTACTTGAATATGAAAAGGGAGCTCGCGCTGACAATATGTGCTACTTACGTCTGAAGATAGTTTCTCTATTTGTTCAGGACGCATGTGTACGTGAGTGTTAACCATGTTAACGGGAATATATGATTTGAGTCATTTTCAAGTAACATGATGTCTGATCGCTGACTACGTGTTTAGGCATTGGGAGTTTTATTATATTTGACACTGAGATTAAACAACACGTCTCTCTTTATGTTAAGAAAATTCACATACTGTGAAAATACGGTGCAGTGGTTAACAGTTGATTTTTGTTTCTGGTGTATGTGAATAAACCTGATTACACTTTGACAGTGAAATGAATTGGACAGAAAGCATTTTCATGGAAAAAAGGGAAAAACATGTTACACAGAGGAACAAGTGATCAGTATGCTGGAGTTTCTTATCGACAACATATTTGTTGAATTTGGAGGTAGACTTTTTTAACAAATTGTCGGCATTCCTATGGGAACGAACTGTGCGCCTCTCCTTGCCGACCTCTTCTTTTTTTCATATGAATCGGAGTTCCTTCAGACACTTGTCAAAAACAAGAAGATCAAAGAAGCCAGATTATTTAATTTCACTTTCAGATATATTGATATGTTCTTTCCATTAACAATCCGAACTTTTCTGATTGGGTTCCATTAATATATCCCCTAGAACTAGAAATTAAAGAAACAACAGACACGGCGTCCTCCGCCTCATTTTTAGACTTATACCTCGAATTTCACATACACAGTCATCTCAGTACCAGAATCTATGACAAACGAGATGATTTTAATTTTGAAATTATTAATTTCCCCCACCTTAGTAGCAATATACCAACTTCACCTGCATAATGGATATACATTTCCCAACTTATTTGATATTTAAGAGCTTGCAGCTCCTACTCAGACTTTGTAAAACGTCACCAGTGTCTGAGCAGAAGGTTGATGAACCAGGGGTATGTCAAAGAACGTCTCGTCCTTTTTCTAAAATTTCATCGGAAGGTACCAAGACCTTGTTGATAAATATTCCGTATCAACTTCACAAATAATACATGATGGTCTTGATGTATAGGTTCTGCGTACTGACGTTGCTTATCGTCTTAATAACGTGTTATATTGTTCTTTTGTTTGTCTTTGTTCTATTATTAATATTACTTTTACTGTTTGGTCTGTTTTCTGTGATATCCATTTGACGTGGCTCGGTACTTATACATCCCGTCAATGTGTTTGTATTATCTTTCATTTTTGCTGGTGTGTTTGTATGTGTGACTTTATGTGTTTCTTTGGTACATATGACGTGGCTCTGTACTTTTAAAGATCCCGCCATTTTGTTATTGTTCTATTATAATATTATTATGTTATTGTTCTATTATAATTTTGAAAATACTTTGAACGACAAAATTATTTTACTCGCGTAGTGGTATTAACCATATGTGGATTCTTAAAAATTCTAAAGAATTTCAGGATAATTTTAAATCTCGGTCTTTTTCTAAAATTAGTTCTAACAAAACTTTTGATTTTTCAACCCTGTATACCACCATTCCCCATGTGAAATTATAATTTTGAAAATATATTTCTTCCTGTGTGACGTTTACATTTTCTGGCGTCAAACACGCGACTCTACACTAAGAGTAGTTGTGAATGCAGTCAAAGGACTTTAAATATTTCAATCCTTTATGGGTTGATTTAAAATACATATATAAGTAAGCAATGAATGTGGTTGTTAAATTTGATAGATGCTTTTTGTGCTTCTTTGTTAAATGTTTGTTTGTTTTGAGATTGTGACACAGTGACGACTGCTGTACCCATATTTTGACAATGTTACCTATTATGTCTGTTTTGTTCACGCATCGTTGTAAATATCATGGAATTTGATGCGATTGTCATACAAGTGAGAGGTTTAGCGCTATAACATGTATAAAACCAGGTTCAATCCACCATTTTCTACATTTGAAAATGCCTGTACCAAGTCAGGAATATGACAGTTGTTGTCCATTCGTTTGATGTGTTTTATCATTTGATTTTGCCATTTGATTAGGGACTTTCCGTTTTGAATTTTCCTCGGAGTTCAGTATTTTTGTGTTTTTACTTTTCATCTTATTATGCTACCTCTCCGATTATTGTTTGTTGGATGATTGAGACATAAAACACATAAATATCAAGCTGTTAAAAAAAAAGACGGAAAATACCAAAGGTTTTTTTTTCAAACCCACAAGTCAAAGATAACTGACAACGCCTTGACAAAAACTAAAAACCACAAAAAGACAAACAACAGACTACAAAACATTCAAAACACAACTCAGACAATCAAAGACAACACGAACCCCACGAAAACTGTGTTAAACTCTAAGGTGCTTTGAAACGGTAACCAGATCCTTTTTCGCACACACGTGACACCCGTCAATTTACTATAGTTTGTTCTAATGTTGTAGGGGAGGGTTGGGCCTTCAAACATGTTTAATCCCTACATTCTTTATATTCCTGTCCCAAGTCAGCAGCCTGTAGTTCAGTGGTTTTCGTTAGTTCATGTCTGTCATATTTGTTGTTCGTAAATTGTTTTGTTATAAATTAGGCCGATAGTTATCTCAATTTAAACCATTGCCGTGACCTCAGGCTATTCATTTATCGTGGTTTCTTTTTATAGAATCAACGCTTTCTAAATCTGTCACTGAAATGGACTCACTAAATTATATTGAATTGTTTCCTTTGTGTTCTTAATTTCACTAAGTTTGATTGGCTAATTTATTGATTTTTGTTCACTAATGTAATTTAATTTAAAAACTTACCTTTAACTCTTGTAACTTTTATATGCCTTCACTGGGAATCGAACCATTCCTTAAAATCTGTTTTTTGTGCCTGACATCAACACATCGACGAAACCTCGCGGCTACCAATGGGTTGCAATTTAGATGTCAATTTTATATATATCAATGAACATATGATACATATCGGTACACACAGGGCTTGTAAATATATATACACATAATAGGCAACCGTATAGTACAAGTTTGTAGCCGCGAGGTTTAGATGAATGAGTTGTAGAGTCAAGTTAGAAGTAGAAATTTGTCAGTTTCGGTTCGAATCCCTGTTTTCTCTTGTTGGTTGTTCCTTTCTTTAGGATTTCTTATTTTGTATGTTAATGAGGATATTTTTATAATATAAGCGTGTTTCTCCTTTATTTTTGGATTACTATTGGCTGTGTCATATATTTGAAAAGAAAATTATTACATTCACTTTGTCCCTTTTTGTTTTTTGAAATATAGTTTTATTTCATCTGTTTCAATACGTATTTTAACAAATGTTTATTCTCCAATCCCTATGCGAGTAAATCGTGATGTGCCTAGAATTAGGTTTCTTGCTATAAATATCGGTAACATACATATTATATATACTTAGATAGTCATATAGAAATAAGGTTCGAATATGTCTTATTTTGTAATATACAGTACAGTATGCTGAAAGAGCATGCTATTTTGTTTTAATAATTTTTCA